AAATGGTGTCTGCGTGCGGGTGGAGGGACTAAACAGCATAAGTGCCCAAACTATGAATATATACATATATACATATATATAAAACGACAGCGATGAATATATACATGCAATGCCTAATAACTACTCATATACACAATCAACATTTCAATATGATCACTATTATCAGTTGAATGCCTACTCTGCTGTACTAATCGTATAACTGTTTAAATATCTTTCAATCACCCACTCTATAACAATTATTTCTCCACCTCGCTATGGTACCGAACACTATTTTCAATTCACCCCATACTCTTTCTAACCACTATACAATCAAAAAAATGACACCATAAACAAATCAAACGTGAACATCATTTAAACATATTTAATCTCGATAAAAAACAAATCTCGCAACAGAGCAATTTGTGTAAGTAAAATAAAACAATCATATTACGGCACTTTTTTACTTTGGGGGGTCGCACGCGAGCACGCTCGCGTACAATGATAAAAACATACGCTCGCACACTATGACTGACGCTTTCACATGGATCGAGGCCACGCCTACTGCGCATGGCTTCAGCCTAAGCGTAGTCTCAGCCTCAACGATAACAACCACAATAACAATAATCTACCCATTATGCAGCCTAATCCAATTTAAAATTTAATTTAACTCAACAACTCGAGAAACGGATGTTTCACGTAAATCGTAAATTGAAAACGTTTCATGACGTTTACGACCGATGTGGTTCAGTTGCAAACAGTACTTACAATCTACAAAATCTATAAAATGCTTGCCTTTGTTTAGGTCCAGATGAGCTAACGGTACTCAGAGAATGTGAGAAAGAAGAGTGTTGCCGTAAGTGAACCGCGTATACACACACATCCAAATGAAAAATTCCATCATAATGACGGTCCATCATTATATAACAACCGCACGAAATGCTAATTTCCCCTACCTCTTTTGTTTTCCTCTGACTTCTTCAAATTACCCCAAGCGAGTAATTTCCCTGTATGAGAACCCCTGTAACGTGGCAAGTGTACTGACCTAACTGCTGCTGGAAAAGGGGGACTGCCATCCCACCTCATTAATCTCCTCAATTTCTGGAATTTCGGGGAAAATTGCATGTGATCTGAGAAACTACTTTGCAGTGAATTAGCTGTTTCCTCTTTCTCAATAGGATGTCAAAGACTGCGGTTCTACTCTAATCCTATTAAAATTGGGCATCTCATTTAGACAAGGAACAATATATCAGCACTTCAGAATAAAAAGTATCGCACAAACGCGCGGCCGAAAAAAGCAGCTTCACCAGTATCGTAACAGTGCCTTATTACCACTACTATTTATCACAAATAAAATATTCACAAAATGTTGCACCACATACAGTATACTTTCAGACAACTGTTCAATATCATATTCCATTCCAAACGTATACATTTTATCTTTTATGCATTTAAGCGTGCAGGTGTACAACATCAGTTCAAATTCATTTTATCATAATTCGTATAATGAAGCAATCAATCAACATTCATGAGAACATATCAGATATTCATCTCACTTGTTACTAAAACAGGTGTAATATATGGTATGCATTTGGATCGAAGATTAAAATCGAACTGGTGATTAAAATTTGATGTTGAACATTCGAAATGAGATGATTAATAAAACAGTTCGAATGGAAAATCGATACAAGTATCATAGTAACAATTCGTCGAATGGGACAATTTGTAGACATGAACCAACAACAACGATCTTGTCGAGGTTATCTTGTTGATTTGTAATAAAACAAAACGAGGATGGATCTGATACATTCAACATTAACGCACGATGCAATTCAAGCTGAAAATGACTGCTATTAAACTGTTTTGCTCATTTCAATACTCCAAACACGGTAGTTATATAAGATCTTAAGCGGTCAATTAATTCTTAATAATATAAAATCAAAAACTTATCGGGGAATGCATGCAAACAATCGGTAAAGTAGCTAAACTAATTCGCTAAACAATCACTGAATGATAAACATTACCCATCAAATTCATCTTGGCAACAAACCTTGTTCTTTAGTTGACTGAACGAAAACACTGCAAGTCTACAATCGAGTGATATTGATATTACTTTAGTTGATTTATCGATTGCACTTTCATGTAAACGTATATCTGCAAATATGCAACATGCAACACCGAATTAATATGTTATTCATTTTCTACCGTCAATTCTGTGCAATGGATACAATATTGAAAGCATATTTTAATGAACGTATTCTGCTAGCATCTTATGAACATCTCAATAAACAACTGATGGAATACTAAGGTCACCTGTACACGTAGTTCCATGCCAATCGATATATTTAAGGATATGCTGGTTGTTAGGTGATAACTGCATAGACATAACATGAACACGACCAGATTCAGAGCCGATCGAGATGAGAATGGATTTATCTTGAATTGCCATCAACACTTACTATGAGATCGATTTGAAATGACAAATTGAATTGACTAATGGTAAGTAGTAACCATCAATGCATTGTGACTGTTGTCCTTCAAATGTCATCACATCCAACGCACTTAACCCGGCCTTCTGAACTTGATAAATGCGGTAGTGGTGAGGGTTGCCATGGATATCTTCGAATATCATCAACAATCCGGATGTTGTGATTGCATACAGAGTATGAATGGAACGCTTTGAAAGAATGCATTTCAGCTTGGTGATGACTAGATTGGATGTTTGGTGATTTGTGCGGAGTATAGACGATAGCGATATGAACGATTCTATGCCTGATCGATCTTCTTTTAAGCGGTACCACCTTAAATATTGATGAAGCTTGGTGCAACTTGGTTTACAAACATCCACTTTCACAATAATGTTCACTACATTCTTTGTTCATCTCATAACCCCTTTTCAGCACGCTCTTCTCAACTTGACAACATTGCTAATGAGCACTGTCTCCGTGAAAACGACTCTCAACGGAAATAATCGACCGCAGTTCAAATCAAATAAAACCAAATCAAATAAAAATAACGAACTCAAGACGCGAATCTGATGCAGAGATGACGAATGAGAAATTTGGTTGACATTCATTAAGGTGTACATCTATCAAACGAGCATCTCCTTTTAAACGCAACTGATATAACTGAATAAGTTCACTATTTTCAAATTTCCACAAAAATACTTCCGATTTTCCACCGACCGAAATGAGAAAATTGTTGTGTGCTGATAAGGCATAGATACTCGATGTATGAGCATTCGTACGGAATATAACATTGGCATAATCTGAAGCAGAAGTGTGTTCATTCATCGCTATTCTCAACACTATTACAACAATTTTTTGCAGCTGCATTCTTATTAGCCACTGTAAGCAATCATTTCAACTCAATCGAATTTTATAGCGGTACATCTTGAACCAAGGCCAGCCCGAAGGTGAACATCTGCAAAACAGCGTTGCGGTGAAGGGGTGGATTGTGCTCACTGTGTTTCGAAACACTACGCTATTAAGTATGACAACGATCGAATAAGTTTGGAGTCCTTAACGACAGGCAACCTAAAATGCAACGGAGCTGTGCTAAGAATAACAGTGGTAGTGACAATAATAATTATTATAATGATAACAATAATAACAACCAGAGAATGTAACAGTGGAAAGGACGAGATGAGTGTCAACACCAGAAGTAACCAGAGTAGTTGCATCGGAATCACCTCCCGTAAAACAGCAGACAGCTGTTATTTGTGAAGTATGAGCGTTAGACTGAAAACTGAAAGCCTTATTTTGGAATCTCAAAAAGTCGATTAGATCGGCTTCGAACCGAATCCAAATTTCGTTTCATTACCATCACTAATATTAACACTGAGGTGTTTGATTGAGAGATAGGAATGCACACATTTGAGTGGCACTCACCGAGATGAGATCGAATCTGGCTAGCGTAACGTCGATTTGAAGTAGAACTCCTTTAGAGAGAAACGTGAACCTAGCAGCATCATTCCCACTGTTGTTATTCAAAGATTTACTGAACTGCCATTTGCGATGCCCTCCACCACAATTCACTTCACATAATTCATATCCAGTCTCATAATCAATCAATACGAACTTCTTCTATAATTATTTAACCACTTATCGTTTGAATCTTCATAAATCAACTCACTCACGGATGCACCTACAAGATGTTTGCAATGATCGATTCATAACCTCATGGCTCAATGATAAGTTCGTTCAATCACTCACATCAGTCCTATTATAAATAAGTGCAAAATATCATTCTCATACTCCATGGAATCCACCAATCCAGAACGTTTTCTCTTCAGAGCGCTTTTTTATAAAATTGCATGGCCATTCCATATCCAGCCAAAATGATGGTGTTCTTCTTTGAAGCAAATTTAATTTGATGGTACCTTCAAAATGTTTAAATAATGATGAAAGCAATAAGAAGAAAAGCGAAATGTTCGATGTGGAAAGAACACTTTGATGAAGAGTTTGATCAAAGTACAAAGTGATGCACATCGAATGCAATTGATGATATCGCTTCACTGCAATTTTATTTTATAGCGCAATTTCAGTGAGAATGAACAAATGCATGTTGCTAACAGGTGCATTTCACACATCCGTTCGAAGTGCGCATTTAAGGAAGATTGAAGGGAAAAAAAGAAGTATGAATAGTTGCTCACCTCGATTCACATCATCCTGCTGTTCAACAACCTTCCAAACGAGCAATTTGCCATCACGACCGATCGAATAAAGTGTCGGATATCGAACGAGCATATCGCTGATTGATTGCCTTCCGTGACAATATCGTTCGCTATGGATGATCTTCAACAAGACCCATCAGAAACAGTTAAGAGAAGCTCGAATAACTGATCGGTAAAATCTCAACGATGACCAACTGAGAAGAGCACCTGCAGCCAACCTCATTCTTTCTTTCATCAATGATAACAATCGTTCCTTTACGAGTACCTATCAACAGGTTGCTACCATATTCACAAACTGCATTCGCTTCTTCATCACCCTTGGCTAACCACACACATCCACTCTCACTTAATTCTCGTCTCGAAGACACCACTTTACAAATTCTCTTCAATTCAATTTACAATCACGCTATGTGAAGGCTTCAATATATTTTAAAAAATCTTCAATATATAAAAATAAAATAAACAACATCACTATTCCATTCATTACATCCGTTAAATAATGAAATAAAAAAGGTCCAGAATAATCACAAGTAATCCCGATTCAGAAGTAATCATCAAACGGTACTCATCAATCCACAACACAGATACAATTCGACCGGAGAATCGCGATGCAATCCAACGATATCCACTGTCAGCATTTCTCTTGGTTACTGCATAATTATAAGTAACAGTTCAGTTTAATTCATCACGCACGTTCTTCATAATCATACATACATGCTGCTATAAATCTCCTTTAAAACTGCAACTAATATGCACAACTCAATCGATTGGTATTTGCATTTTCATAGATTGAAGGATGGATGATGATTATGTGTAATGAAGAATAAATGATGATTTAAAAATTAGGAAAAAAACGAACCATCAATGACAAAAAGAGTATTTTGCGATGAAAGGGTGATGAATGTGTCGGATGGAGATAACAATAATGAGCAGTCGTGTTGTATATCTTCACACTGTAGGACTTCATCAACTTGAAACTTTTCTCGGACTGATAGTAATACTCTGTAAAGAAGAGATATAAGTAAAAGATGAATTAGTCCCGACTCGTTTGAGGAGAAGAGAACTGAAATGAAGAGTGAGTAGTTTAGCAGCAGTCACTGAACGACAGTTATACTGCTTGACAGATGCAGAAGTCATGTTTGATACAAAATGAACTGAAGAGTAATAAGTAGTTCGAGAATATAAGATATGCACTGACCCGGCATCATCCAAAATGAAGAATGTACGTGAGGAAGAAACGTATACAAACGAGCGGATGGGCCTCCTGTGGATCAGTCTTGTGATCGACCGATGCACTGACGAGCAATTCTTTATTGCAAGTGCACATTTTAAACCGTAATCATTTGCTAATATCTGTGAGCAACGGATAAATTTGCTGTTAACGGTGTTATTAGAAAAATGTAGTTGACATTTGATTGATCGAAGCGATTTGAGGCAAGAGAAGTGTTTGGTAAATGAACGAGATATGTATAATAATTGTAGTAAGAGAATGAAACTTAGTATAAACGTAACGATTGTATTGCGATGATAGAACAAAATTCGAATCGACCCGCAGGACATATGAATGCGACGTAGTAATGATAAGCAATCATTACTCAATCTCTTCCATAAACACACATCACCATCCTAAATTTACCATATTCATCACACAACAAAATCATCTCCCACCCTCATTCCATTCAACATTCAACTCAAAATCAATCAGCAATTGCCAAATTCGATCAGTATTAAGACAACATGTTCAAATTACCTGTCCAGCAGTTATCACATTCATATCTGGTTGATTCAAAACATTACAAATCGCAAAAGGTCTAGCCAGATGACCATAGACCTGATCAAGTTGTATGCATCTCTTCACTGACCACAACCGCAAGCTTCGATCATCACTAATTGAATATAAGTATTCCTTTGTGCCATCCTCTTCCAAAACCATACCGAAAATCATGCCTGTATGACCAATAAAATGTTGAGTGATATCAGGACCTTCCGATGGATACCAAATGAGAATGTCACCCATCACTGTGCCCACAACGGCCCGTAATCGTGGCCAAGAATTGCCATCCAATAATGAATTCAATAATACTGCTTTATGTGACGATCGAATTCGTTTGCATTCATTCAGCTCGATCATCCATCGATCATTTGATTCCGATTCATTCAATGCGTATGCGACGACAGTGTTCGATGCGAATAAAATCACCAACTGAAGTATTTAAGTCCGTCCATTCAACAAATTAAAACTGCTGTGAATTCAGATGTCCATTTGATGATCGCTGCGCTAGCGAATGGAACGTAATGAAGTGGAAATGGTGATGTGACATGCATATAATGCTGATACTAAAAGAAAACTGAACGCACCGATCCCTCATCAACTATCTTCGCTGTCCGTATCCAGTCGTCGAAATGAAACGTATATTCCATCCGAGCACAGTCATCATCATCACTCCTCGTCAAGAACGCCAACGATTTGTCTCCATACACAATTATCAGCTTATCTATCATAACCTCACCTTTTCATTCACTCCCCACTTCATTAGTCAAACATTCAATTCCATCCCTTCCAAACCTCTTACATGCAACGTTTCGAAGTTCGCCCAAAATTAAATGTCTTCTATAAGTTATTGCTAAGCAATAACTTATAGAAGACATTCAATTGATTTTTTTAAATTCTGCTAAACAAAAATTTAATTTTGCTAAGCAATAACATAGAATGAAAGCACAAACGATAAACAAGTGGATGTACCATTTCGTACAATACATCCATCGATATTACAACCCTTTTCATCGAATACTTTACACCTCCACTTCAGAGAATAACCATGACTATCGTTGCTCCTTTCAATTTCATCCAAATTACATCCATTACCTCAAAACGCGATACTACTTTATAACTATTAATATAACAAAATGAAATCTGCAACAGGACTACAAAGATCATCAAATGAATCGACCATCATCGCAATGATCCTTAGGTCGTCCGAGCACATGCCTATTATGATTGATTCCTGGCACATAATTTCGTTAACGTTGAACAAATCCAGTAATCGATGTTCAAGAGGTAAGAGTATACCGAACAGAATCATGAAATGATGTGAAGGAAAAAAACACTAAACGAACCAAATAATAAACGATTATCTGCCTTCACACCCATTGAATGAGCAGAAGCGTCAGCACCTCTCAATGTAACAACACTCAATACAGGCGTAAATGCGTCCCATATCCTCATATCTACCTACAACTCAGAGTTCGAGTCATATCGCATGTGATGAGTTGTCGTTATCTCAGTACAACACCAAGTCGAATGGAAAACCCACAATCACCTCTCCTATTCCATTTATCTATGTATTTGCACCTCTAGAATTATACAACTGCAGCAAATAAATCAAAAGCAGTAGCACGTAACTGGAAGTGGCATGAAAATGGATGTTGTAAAGACCATTATTTTGTAATAGTAAGGTATCATCTGGTTGATAACAGTCCCATTATAGGGTGATGTGCATCGAGAACATTGTTGTCATAGCCAAAAATATGTATATAAGCAAAATGAACAACAAATACGTGCAGTAATCACAAACCATTTTGAAAGTTGTCCAAAAAATTACGCATCTCATCGATTCCTAATATTCGACCACATCATACACAGTGGTCAAATATTAGTAAATCGATGAGATGCATAATGCAATTCGCAAAAACCTCATAAAACGACAATATCAATTATCAACTTCTTAAGAATGCATAAAACACGATTGCAGCGGATAAATTAAAACGTAATCGACAAACACAATGAACAGACAATGTTCAAGTATACAGCGATCGAATGAAGATTAATCAGAGCAGTAAACTGGAAAATACATTAAAAGACATTCATAAATGTGCTAATATAAACTGAAAATTAGAGCGATATGTATAAATAAAAGGCCTCGATGACATGCTGCGCACAAGTACCGGGGATGAGTGTTCGACGAAGAGCAGATAGTAATTCTTCACCAAACATTTAATATCGCGCAGAACTGATCATGCTAGGAGCAACAAGTTAAACATATCAATCTTGTCGATCGCCATCCGCGTGTCGTTGTGTCGATAAAATTTCGGTAACCCATGGATGAATTAGCACATCAACCAACGACAAACGTTCTGATGCTTCCTTTCGTACCAACTGAAAATGATCTGGTTACACAATCCGGGACTGGTTATGTATGCAGATGAAACGAACACGAATGTACCTTGGCAATGAGATCTTTAGCACCATCAGGTACTGCTACAGCTGGTGGATACGTTATATAACAGTTCATTATTTTTGCGAAGGTTTCATGCTGTTCCTGAATTTGAGACAGCTTTATTTTATTGCGAGCTTTAATGAAGAGATTAGTTAATTGCGTCGATTGTCAGTGTTACAAGTCAAATTTGAACTAACAAGTATTCGTCGCAAGAGGTAGGTATGATTCAAAATGAAAAGAAAAAATGAACGACTTTGGCCTCAAAAGGCGGACGTCCGACGAGGAACTCATACAGCATAACCCCCAAAGACCAATTATCCACACTCGCGTCATGCTTCTTGTGCATCACCATTTCGGGTGAGAGATAATCCAACGTTCCGCACACCGTATCCCTTCTGCAACACAAATACCTCCAACCAGTATCAGATAAGCACATCGATCCGAATGAGTAATGAACACACCCTCTTTTCACTCCATTTCTTTATGAATGCAACTTCTTCCTTCATAAACCCAAAATAAACCAAATTTCATAACTTCATGCATTCGAGCAAATGAATAATATTTCGCAGCCCAATGATAGTTAAATCATTGCCGATTTGGTAACGCACATTGAAGTAACGTTTTAAACCCTCATTCGTCAGTGGCTTCGGTATTGTGTTAGACTTCTACATGGAAGACAGGGGGTTCGGGTTCGCGTGGTAAACGATTTTTTCCCTTGTCTCACGTTTAAAAGAAATTGTTGTTAAGTTGAGGTTGACCTTAGGTCTAGGCTGAGGTTGGTGCTTAGATTTAGGCTGAGGTTTGCGAATCAGGTGTTAGATGAAATAATGAAAAAAACATGAAAATGAAATGAAAAATGAATAAAATGCATGAAAAAATGCGAAATATTGCTTATCCCTAGCAACAATTACTTACTTTGATGAAGGTCCATGAACAGACCACCCGAAATCAGCTATTTTCAAGTCACCTCGTCCACTAATCAGTACGTTCTCAGGTTTGATATCCCGATGCATCACTTTTTTTTGATGACAGTATTCTATTGCTGAAGCTAACTGACATATATAAGCAGCAGCTCGTTTCGGTTCGAATCTTTTACACTGAAGAAAACAGTTCATTATTGAAATAATCATTAAACAGCTATCGCGTTACCGCTTACATTAAAGATTTGCGCAGTGAGCAACATCCTTATTGTAAGTAAAGTTATTAAACTTGCTTATGGAAATAACAAAGGACTGGATAAAAAATGTGGAACCTTTTGAAGTTCACTGTAAAGACAACCTCGAGAAGCGAACTCTAAAATCAAATAGACACGTGCTGAGTCATGAAAGTAACCAAAAAGTCGCAGTATATTCGGATGACTGAAATTAAAACGTTCATCACTTACATTGCAGCACAACACAAGATGAATACATCAGAAAGAATTACATCACTGACCGTAAATGATACTGAATTTCAATTTCCCGTCTAAGTTGTTGTTGAACGCCATTCTTGGCCAACTGCTCTTTGTAAAGCACTTTAATGGCGACGACAAACTTGGATGCTATCTCCCTCGCCAAGTAAACGTTACCGAATTTACCTTTACCCAACGGTCTACCAACCTCAAAATCATCTAATGTCCACTCTTTAGTGCCTAATTCTTCCATTAATTCTGAAATTCGGCGTAAAATTAGATGATTTTCGGATGCATTCTCCAGAGTACACATTTTAACTTAGTATCGTACTATCTTGATTTCCTCGATAATTTGAAGATGAGAGAACACGAACCAGTCAGGAGTATGAGATTGCCCGGCCCGGCTGAGACAAGAATTATCGAAGCACGCCAGGAATCATCAACTCAGACCAAGATTTGCTAAGTCCATCATCTCCACTTACTTGTATTCCTAATCTGGCCCGACCTGATAATCCTTGCCTCGGCCCGGCCCTGTGATCTGGGCCCGACAATCCGCACCAGTAATTGCAAAATCTCAACCATTTTTCAATCCCCGGATTGGAAAATGATTATAGGTGGAATGCAAAGCAATGGTGATGACGGAATAGTGACGGTACTAAGAAATTTTTCTTCACTGCTTTCTGAAATAAAGAAGTCTAAGTCGGCGCTAATATGTAATCATTTAGCCATTTATTCCGCCCGGGGTGGCAAACAACAAACATTACTGAACACGAATTAAGTGCGAATCATTGACGTGCAATTCAAGATGAGTATCTTACCAGAACTATATGAAATGTGGTTTTCAGAGAATGTCAGGCTGTTAAAACAAAACCAGAATTTAGACGAATTTCGTACATAACTTAGGCTACCCTTTAGCGAACGCAATATAACCACAGATATTTTGAAATTGGACAGTGACAACATTCAAGCACGATAAGCAATAAAAATAACGACTAGGGTTTGCATAATAAGGACCTGCCGACATATTTAATGGCATAGATGTCTAGAGACCATGGCTATAACTTCGACAAGCCTAACTCAGGTCTAGGATAATTGCAACAGGGATCATTGCTTTCAGACTGTTGTTCGTCACAGTTCGTTTCGGTTCGCTTTTTGAGCAAGTTGAACGCATATTTACCATTGTGTGCGCGCATTAGATAACGTGTATAACATGATATATGACAATCCCCTGAATTCACCTTAATAAGTAGGATCGTTGATGCTAGCAACCGCCTGAAGTCTATATGAACTTCGCCCTTGTAGCTTTAGCTTCATTGTGGCCGGAGCGGACCAAGAGGAAAACCTAAGCTTAAGCCTCCATGTGGTGAATATGGTATATTAGTGGTTTCCATTAATTAAATGACATAAAAAAGTGTTTGTGCATTCCTGCTTATGTCGGGAAAGAAGGGGAAGTTTTTAAGCCTAACGTAGAATGTAAGCGAAGCCTATTGTTAGCATCATTCCAAGCTTAATAGCTGTTTATGGTGGATGATGTAATGCGGCATTGTTCTGAGTGAATCAGAAAGATAAGGATTTAATAACCCAGTCATTACAGCAAATTTTAAGGAGCCGTTTAACTGAACGAATAAGAAAGAAAATAGAAAACCAGCGGGATATTCAAGCAATAAAAATGAACCAAACGAATCAAGCAAATAAAACATGAAGGATGACATCAGCAGTCGCAGTCAAATGACCACTAAATAAGTACATCCATTTCTGCATGAACAAGTGATTGGAAAAGAGATAATTACTCAAAAGAAACAGAATTATGAAATAACACAACAGGTAAACACTTCAATTTTCGAATGCTATTTCGTTTAAAAGTCACTGATGCATTCAACAACACAGTATTATCAAAGCACTGAATATGAATTTTTGATGTACCATATTTATTATACAACGTGCCTGAAGTAACGAAATTATTAGTGTTCGATACAAAATGAATATCATAACGGTTTCAAAATGGAGACAACATGGCGCAAAGATCATGAAAAGCATTTATAATATGAACATGATGAACGATGGCTTGCTTTAAAGAGTACCACTCTGAAGACGAGCATCAACTTTATCGAAACTATCTTTACAAGCAGGAGTTGTAACGACAGAAAAATCCGGATGGTTAACAGCAATCGTATTGCGGTTAACAGAGCTGTATTTTGCGGATGTACCCGTTTCGACGGGTACACTACATATTGAATGCTTAGCGAATAGTTCCGGAGGGAAGAATGGAGTGTTATCAGATCCACATCTACAATATCATAATCAGCATCACTCACTTACGATCAGATTGAAGACTAAATTGATCGAACGAAAATTTAGCATAAGGCATTGAATGAAAAACTTACACAGAACTATCGTAAGAAAGAATTTCATCAGGAACAGAGCTTTTTGGTATTGGCATTGGGTTCGCTTCATGACTCGATGCCGATTTACGATTGTAGAGTAAATTCTAAAGTTGATGAACAGAGCTAATTGCTTCGATAGAACCGTAATGGTTACACCTTCATATTTAAATCAATTGATAACAATAAACAAACAACGGCAACAAGATGACTTTACTACCCACCTCGATATGAATATTTAAATCATTTATATGTGCTTGTTGTTTTTGACATACTGAGAGTAATGATAAAAACTTATGTTGAGCTGCTTCGCTTTGCTGTATGTGCAACTGAAAGTATATATGTAAACAAATTATGTGAATATCAAAAGAATAATAAACGCACTGTGGCTGCTCTTTCTAACATGACTTTGAGGTCATTCACTCGCTGACGCTCCTGCTTCCATTCGTCCTCGATTTCCATCGTCTTCATTTTGGATGCATCTCTCGCATTTCGTTCTCTTCTCAGTTCCATTTTCAATTGCGATATCTCAAACGACAAATACTCAACACTGCTCTTCATCCAAATACACTCAAAAACAATAAATACCTGAGCAAGTAACTGCTGATCACTATGTTCAGACAGCGTTGATAACTCGATCGCTCGGGCTGTATTCACCGCCTTTGCGTACGTTTCACACTTCAATTTATGGCTTTCGTTATTCATGCAACATACAACATCAATTCACTTCAACTGCCAGTTTTGATTGGATGAAAGACGGAACAAATCGTAAACCTGTGCAATTTTGTCTTTCAACTGCCGATTGATTGTGAAGGCGTTTTGCAGCTGTGGTTTAATTTGTTGCAGTTCAGTGATCTTGCTCTGTGCTAACGATAACTCTACTTCTGCATTCTCACATCTGAAACTTTCATCTTAGTCGCTAAACCTACTCAACTTCCACTCGATATCAGGTATCCAAACGAAATTTCAGCTTGGTCAGAATCTGATAAAATCGACTTTTTAACATTCCGAAATTGGATATTCCTACTGAACTTCAAAATTATTCGGTCGGACCGAAACTCGTCGTGTTTTAGTGACCGAACTTCGGTCAATTACTGTTACTATTACCAAACGCAACCAGTACCTTCTTCGCACTGTATCAAGATCCAACTGCAGTTGTTCATTGACTTCAGACAACCTCGTCACTCGATGATCCAATTTATCCAACTCTCTTACGTATTTATCAGACTCCTGGATACCAGATTCGTTTGTTAGATCAGGGATATGATATAAAATAATTGGAGGTAAGTTAGAATTAAGATTAAAGAATAACGTTATCAGTAGATTACAACAAACGTAAAAAGGACGAACATGTTGACATCTAAGCAATTGCTCGCGATATGCATTCTCGATCTCGTCTCGTTTCTTTCGTTCCGCCATACTTCTCTTCCGAAATTCGGTTAGAGCACTGACGAGTTGTTCTCGTTCCTTAATCAACGCAGTAATACAACTATTAAGTCGTTACTCGATGCTGTGATAAAGTATGACGATATGAATAAATGATCTTTAATGAACATACCAACAACGCATTGTGCAATGATTTCTGCAGAGATACCTTCTCAGCATCCGATAACTTCTGTTGTTTTATACGACCTTCAATTGAGTACAGCGTTGTTATTTCAAACGAGACGAACTGCTTTTTGATTGTCACTCTAACGGCTTTCTGAGCATTTTTATCTGGATCAAGATGCCAGGATGTTCTTATCCGCTCCCCCCCCCCCAAAATAAAAAAAACAAGCGAAAATCAACCGACCAAAAAGTCTTCTGTTCCTCTCGGCATGTAACAATCGTCCACAGCGTTCATATAACAGATGTTGATTCACCAATGACAAACGTGTACTCAGTATATCTCTCTGAAATCACTCATCATTATCCATTAACTAATCTCAAGAAGAACAAACCTGCTTCTCGAAAGATAACCCATGCAAAAAAGCAGTCATGTCATCATAAATCTTCGCTGGCAACCGATCAGCTAAACCAAGCTGTTTCAGACAAGAGTGATGTTCAATACATGCTTCCATATAACTACGTCGTGTCTTCTCATGTTCCTCATTCAATTCCATATCAATACCTTCTTCATCTGCAACTTTCTTACGTGTCATATCAAATTATTGACCAATTAACCAATAAGTATACATACCAATATTACCAAATGGAACACTTCTGAGAAAAGCCAAATACGGGAAATCTTTTTTTATTGCTGAATTGATTTGAGATGCAGTTAGGAGTGACGGTTTGGGTATTGATTTGTTGTTTTGGATTGCAGAGGTGTTGATCTGACTGTGAATTGATTCACATAAATTTGGACATGATGAGACACGATGTCTGAAAACGGTATTTGATAATAAGGCAATATGCTGACACAAAAAAAGATATAATGCTGAACAAGATTATACATACAAGGTAAAACGTCGATTGTTGCGTGCAGGTGGGTGTGAGTAGACTAGATCAGTGATAAGCATCGGTGGGGGGCATTCGGACGTGAAGCGTTGCCGGTTGACGACACGGAAGAATGATGACACCGAGAAGCGCTGTTCGTTGGCAGTCGTTGTTGCTTCACGATTCTTCTTCTCTGCTGAGAGCCTCTGTTCAGTCAAAAACACATCGTTCTCTTCTCTCTGATCCTTGAACATTTTCATTCTTAATAGTCTTATCATCAATCAACAACCAGAAATAAATCAAGCACCTCATCCTCCTGCATTCCATCTGCACGTCCATTCTTCTTATCACCTTCATATCGCTGCACATCAGCACAGCAATATGAACGAATGCTCTTTTCATCGCTCAATCCCTGCATCAACTCTCCGCTATCCAAATCATTCTCGACATGTACAGTACTCGATGTATCATTCAGTAGATCACTGTTCAGAACTGACTTCTCATCATTATCAAATTCATCATCGAGTATCTTTTTACTACCAGTCAGCGTTATTGTCGGTGTTATTGTTGTGGACGCACGATCGGTGCTTGTTCGATAAGAGAGTGTTGATGATGGAGACAAACATATATCAGTCGCATCTAGTGCTTCTTCCACCTGACTGGCCTCAAATCGAGTGTTCATTCCAGACTTATTTCATCAATCAATTCTTCAATATAATTAGGCAATGCTAAGTCATTAATACTGTTAAAAACTATAATTCCTTCATTACATCTTCACTGAACACCACCAATCAGGAACGCATCCAACACCCACCTCACTGTCCCTCCGAGTTATCTCAGCCTTTGCGTTGATTACCTCTATGTTCTCTTCTGAATCTTCCTCCTTCGTTCCGGCTAGAATGTTCTCAATCGATAAAGCGGATCGACGATCACGTTGCTCAGCACCTCGATCATGAGCATCATTACAACGTTCTTTCATTTCTGATGCCCTCTTCAATTAATAATCATTATTTACAAACAACTTCTATATCATAAACTAACTGATCTACCACGGAATATATCCGTGAACTTTTGTCCAAATGAGGAGTGTCTTGTGGAAGGACGTTGTCTTAGTTCATCTGAAGCAGCTGTCGAACGACGTGAGCTAACGCTACCGGGTACTGCAACAACAATATATAAACCTATCTAGTTGATAGATACAAATATAATCACAACTAACATATAGTACTATTGGAGATGGTGTTGGGTCTATGCACCAAAGGTGTTGCACATCTTGTTTCTGGGGGCGTCTCGATACCTAAATTGATACTCGGACTCCACACATCCACATCCATATCCCAATTACTAGCACTTGATTCTGGAAACGGTTTGATGATCACAAAAAAAAGATTCGTGAGATGAGTTATGAAAGGATAAATCAAAATATGACTGGTATTAGTGTTAGATGATGAGCATATGGAGTGAGTAGATGACGAAAATAAAGAGCTTTCCGAGGTGCGATGGTAGTCAACTGGGTGCATTATCGACGAACTTTTTGCAGAACGGCTCAGCGAAAGATGAGTATGCTTGGCTGGAATGAAATGAGTAATATGAGTTACTGCTCGGAATGGATGATAATTTATAAAGTTGCTACATTATATTACATCACCAACAACCTACATTGAAGACTCAGTGGCACAACGGTCGGTCTTACTAAGACATGTCTGCAATCAGCAACGAAGTCATGTGCTTCACGCTGTGACCACCGATTGCGATCCAACTCCTATAAACATGTGCATTTCAAATGAGAAAAAATCTATTTTTAATTTAAATGAATATCATGATAAAATGTGGTCACAAGCCTGATCAGCATTCATTTTGAAAAGCTGAGGATGGAACTTAACGCAACACATCACTGGTTCGAGTATTGTGAATGCTCGTCTTTCACGACTTTTTAGATAATGCTCTCTGAAATTTGGTATGTATATCAATTATCACACTGAATAATAAAAAAGAACTATTGGTAGTATATAGTAGCAATCATTTGGTGATATGCACTGAATCGATGGTTACGACTGACAAGAGCGTGAGAAGTTTGGTAACCTGAGGAAGTTAAGTAGATTGGTGGGGTAGATGCCATATAAAAGGATGAAATACTGGGTGATGGCTGAATAGAGGTGTGATACGTAAACATCTTCGATCTGGTGTGAATAGTCACTTTTGAATTTGTCGGCTGCTTTTTTACGTTTGTAGAGAAATGAAGAAGAAGAAAGGAGTATTGTGAAGAGCTCATGAAGTGTAGGCTTTTTGAGTGCTGAACAGTAGGGTAGCAGAGAGGATATGAACAGGAGTCCAGCAACCACGACCACTGCATTACTGGGTGACTGCAATTTGACGTTTGTTGAGAAGTGAGACTAGAAAATTTCGAAATCCGAAAATCGCGCACTATGGCACCTAAGGCAAGAAATGGCAAGTGCATAGTTTATAGATCTTTTACGGATCCACCACTTGATAAACATCACGTACTTGAAACGATCGGACAATTTATGTTCTGTGAACGACTCACATTCATATGTTTCAGTAAAGAGCCGAATAATGAATGATCGATTAATTTCGACAACCAACTCGGTGCTTTTTGAACGATCTGACCTAACAAAACGATAGTTCCAAGCACGTTCCCGTCCATGAATTCTTGAATATAGTTGCATAAATCCTAGAAATGGATAAACATAAGCAAAGGCCTTCTTACTGCAACAAAAATGCATGTTGACGTATGATTTGATTCGATGTAGATTTTTGTGTCTGCTATTCAACGGTCTTATTCAAAATGTCCACCTGATAAATGACGGCATCAAAATATTGAGTTCGAAAAATAAACCCTTTTGGTCACCTTATAAGTAAGGCGGAAAAAAGGAAGGTAATTTTGTCTTTTAGGTTGGTAAAATCAAAACGGCATTTCGTTCATACTCGCAGTTGAATATGTTACTTAAAGCACAGCAAGAAATGTTCGCACGAACGAAATGTTGTTGTAATTTAACCAACCTGAAATACAACATTACCAAAAGGAACGACAGACAGATAGATGAGTGAGCATACAGTATCATATGGTTCCTTGACTCGGCACAATAAATCAAGTACGATTGCAGATTGTGTTTTGGAATAATACTGCACTAAATGTCGAACTGCTTCTCCTAAAACGAGTATTTCATTTGAATATAACTATTTGAAACGTAGAAAAACTTGAGATTTTTGCGGAATTTAGTATTTATAGAGTGGAATAGTGATTAGCAAACGATGGACCTTGATCGATAAGACTCCGAAGTGCTTCTCGTGAATTCTCGGATACTTTAGCATCAACCGACTCCGAATATTGGATCAATTTTCTGATGTCTGCCTTCGTTCTATTACTCATTTTAGTGGTCTCACTTCCTGTTAACCTCATATACATTCTTCCATTGCACTTCAAATAGTCGCAAATATTAGATCAGCACCTCACAAAGAATCCTGCTATGAAATCCAGTTAAAATTTCAAAATTATGTCATCAAAATTACAGTTCTACTCAATCGCGGATAATCGGAAAACATTGCCACCTCGTTCCCAAACTGTGATTCACAATTAACCACGCCGGTCGAATGGTCGATCTCTATCTCCGTACCATGTAGTCTTCTCACAGCGTAGAAGTGGTTATTTAAACGAGTCTACGACAATTTGCTTCGCGACAAGTGCCACTCCGACAATATGCGAGTGCCCCATTATTGAATAGCATGGTGCCTTTTGTCGTAGATGCATTTGTCGGTCACCCATTTAAACTCCTGGTTCGTTTCGGTTCGATTAAAGCATGTTCACCATTTTGAGCGCATATTGCGTAGTAATGATGGGATCCAATCGACAGTCGGTCAGAAAAGTCTGACAATTTCGGTCGGATTCCCACCGATCAAAACTTCGCTCAGATCCCACTACTGCTGCATACTGTCGGTCGGAAAATTCAGACGGTTGGATTTCGACCGAATAGTTTGGAAGTCGGTCGGAATCCCAACTGTCGGATTGACGAAATGCCAACTCGGTCGAATTCTGACCGACCCATATTTCGCTCGGAACCCATCACTATTACTTACTGTGGTTTAACACACGGTATAGGCTCAGGTTTTTAGCGTAGACTTGAGCTTAGACCCAAAATGCAACACGCGTCATCCATGGACTGGCTGACGCGTGTTATATTTGTGTTAAGTTATCCCTTTTTTTCCTTGACCTTGCAGATTTACCCATAAATTACCTTCACAAGTCCCATGCAAATTATCGCAGTTTAAAAAGTGTGAATTGAGCGGTTGCTCAATAAATGGACCGTATTTACTCACGTAAAGACGGTTCATTTATGTGGCAACCGCTCAATTCACGTAAATAACTGAAGAATCAGTAATGCGTTCCGGCCATCCAAAGTATATTCATATTTAACGTTTATCATATGTTCACACGTAAAGTTTTCACATTTGAGACAGGTCGGTTGTATTGTGTATAGATGGATTGCTACATTTGTAACAATTGTTACGATTGTTAAATACGTTTAATATCAGAGCGCTCTTATCCAGCTGATTAGCATCCGCTATTGGAGCGTAGCGGAATTGAAAGAATGATGATAATAATGTTGTCAGGTGTGATGAACGATCCATTGAGCTTACAAGAAGACAATTTCGAGGATGATGCTGATGACGATAACGANGAGGATTTCTCGTTTCACGGTACTGGTCTGTATATGTCCTTAAGAACCGATCGAATTAATGAGCACGTCAGTGAAGCGCATGCCTAAATGGAACTTTTCATCTACTTTCTTCAAAATATCATGCAGAGATATCAATGCATCTAGCTGCTTTTCGAGAATGTTAAAGTAGTTGAAATTTTTGATGAGTTTTTGTTTTGAGAGGGGAATGCATACGAAGAGGAGAGATATGCGCAAGGATATGACCAAGAAGCGATTCGTTCACGATCAAAACTGACGGTTGATGCTGGGTCGAAATCGGATTTATCTCTCTCTATTGGAGCATTACCGCTGAATCGGTTGGAAACAATAACTGAGGAATCACGAGTCACTTCTGATGGTGTGCTGTCATATTTCGTTTATCGATTAGTTATGCACCTACTCTTTGATTATTTTTATAATCAGGATTATTTTTTGGTTTTAATCATGCTTATTATATATATATTTATATATATATACGCAAATCCCAGGTAACGATGAACCCGAGCGTTCACGTGTCTCGGAAAATCGACGAATCGAGAAAGCAGAAATGATGAGGGCTGATAATAAAATCTCGGAAGACAGTGAATTTTTTAAGCCAGGTACGTTGGTGGAAAGTTTGGTAGTTATGTTGTTATGGTTCATGTTAATGAATATGTATATATTTACGTACATAAATAAAACTGAAGGATTTTTTGGAAGTGTTGTGAAGATAATGAGTGATATCTTCATTTAAACAAGTAAAAAGAATAATGTTAGGTGAGTCTCAGATTGCAAATGATTAAGGTGCGGAATTTTGGGTGTTAGAAGAGGAGAAGTTTAAGAAAGAAAGTGTTTTGACAAAAGACGATTGGCGTTTCAATAGAACACATCATGAAAAGGAACGCAGTTGGGAGCCGTCGATCACAGATTCAACTCCGCCGATCCCATCGCTGGAACCTAACAGACTTCTGAAACTTTGTTAGTCATCATTGTTACAGAATTTTCAGAGATTATATACATTTGCATGAGAATGGATATTTCGAAGTGCTTACTGATTTGGTTGCATAACTTTTAGCGATTTGAAATGTTTGGCGTATGAAACTTGCTGAGAATTGAAAGGAGAGAAATGTTGACGTTTCGATGGTTTTTTTTTTCGATCGAAACGTTTTGACTATTTAAATATTTAGAAACATTCAATTTCAAAATGAAGTGATATTGATTAAGGTGATAAGGGAGGCGTTGAACAATATGATAAGGAAGTGATTTCTAAGAGAGGTATCCTTAACGGAAATGATGAACAGAAGCAAGATAACAAAATGCAGATATCATCGAACAGCATCGCAGAAGAACGCTCAGTGGTGCTCCCTTCTAAGGATATGTACGGCTCTCCAATGACGTCAACTCCTTTTGGTGTGCTATGAAATTCTCATCGTTTATTTGTTCGTTGTCAACTTATTTATTACGACGAATCATCAATCAACATTCAGCTGACCATCGATCGAAACGCACAAACTTGCATGATCTGAGTCGCGAGTGTGCGTCGATATCAGCAATCGCGGTGCTACCTGAGAGAATGCCATCGGCACGTGCACAGTACTCCTCAACTCGTACCGTCGAGAATAAGAGGGTGGCTTTCCTTGAACCCAAAACGAACATGAACAGTATATCACCAATCATTCGCCAGAACACTTTACTTTCATCATCAGCTATCGACCGCGCACTTTCAGTTGGTGATTTGACTTGATTTGTTATAGAATTGATAGACGGTTATCGCCCGCTTTTTCATTAGACTTAAAAGAAAAGAGTGTGGTTAGGCATGTTATTAAAGGAGAGTCGTGTTGTTTCAATGAACGATAGTCAGTTGATTGCTGCATTGAACAACGCAAGGAAACGAACCGAACATCTCACCTTCAAAGTACCTGATCTTATTGGATCGAATTCACGTAAGTATCCATGATCTTTTAGGCAGTATATATAATTGCGTTAATTGCGTTTCATCAGTACTGATTTTAGAGGGGAATGCAATATCATCAACTAGGAATATTTATAAACATCGAGAACGGGTTGGTATGGAGCCACTGAGAAGTAATAATCAGATCGAGAATATACATCAGTCAAATGGTATATTTAATGGTTGATCAATATTATGTTATGTCTAGCGTGATATAGTGGTCATAAAGGTATATTTTATGTCAGACATGAGAATATCGATTTGAGGTGGGAATATGTGGAATGGAGATGCAGGGGTGCAAGAACGAGAGAATATACCGACAGCGGTGGAAGTAAGAGGAATAGAATGCGGTGAAGTGAGCGTATTCAAGAGTTCAACCGTGCAGCCAACTCAAAATGATCAGCTTCCACACCCGACCATAACCAGTCACAGTGCTCCTCAACATTGTTACACACAAAATGCAACGAAATCAACCGCTCCATATGCTTCATCATCTTCATTTACTACCCCCATAACGTTACTTAATTGTTTATGTACATTCGCTTTATCCATTCCGTTAACTGTCAGTGATCATCTCTTTATTTTGCAATTATTCATTGATGAGAAATGAAATGAATTGTAGTAGTTGTTTGGAACGAGTGGATGGAAGGCATTATCTAGGATGTGACAGAGCATCGGTATGGTTTGGATGTAGTGAGGTGGACCGCTCGATCATTCATACAGTACGCATCACGAATGTATCGAACACAACTCTTTTCTTGGACATCTCCTTGCGATGCAAAAATAATGCCTTTAAGGTTGATGTTTCGAGCATTTGAGCTGGTTTGATTTGGTGAACATATTTTTTATTGCAGTTACAACAATCTGGCAGTGTGATGTTGAAACGCAGAGAAGATTATTGTCTGCATGTGACCTTCAAACCGAATACAGCTGCATTCTTCAAGAGCGCCATTTGTATTGTTGTTCGCAATGTGGAACGAATCAGTTATTCGGTTCCTTATTTCGATTTCTTATCCGTCGATTTCAATTTAAAATATTATCATAACGAACAGTGTTATGAGATGGGTTAAGGGTGAAAGTGATGTGTTTCGTTTTAGATACCAGTGAGAGGTGCTGGTGGAACGGCGATTTTGATATTGCGAGATCAGGGACATGATATCAGTCGGATGAAGGACGGCTCTTTCGTTCTGACCACATCACATCCTATCAGTGTTCCAATCGAAATCAAAAATGTTGGTGTGAGGTTTGTATCGTTTCTGAGTGTACTTGGCTGGCAGGAGAAGGCTTGGGCTTTAGTGGTGACTAATGTATTGTTAAGGGATGCGTTCGCAGTGATAAGTGTTCTCGATTCAACGACCAAAAAGCGTATCGATCGAGTCAACATATTGCCTTCTGATAAGGCTGTTATTCTTAGAAGACAAAAGATGGTTAGTGCATAAACATTACATGTATAACACGAAGAGTACTTAATCGTTCTTTCTTAATCGTACAGAAATTTGAAATCAAAATTGACGAAAAAGAGTTGGAAGAAGCGAGAAACAGAGTAGACACAACAGCAGCTACCTTCGGATCGACAAGTGCGTTATGCGGTCGAAGTAATTACGTGATTCGAGTTATATGGGCTGAGGAGTTATTGAGATATCGACTGAAACGGTACGTATGTTGGACATTATTAGCGATCAGCAATCATATTGAATATGGTCATTGTGAATTGTTAGGGGAAATAGGCGATTGAAAGAGGATGGCTTCATTTATTTATGGATTAGTGATTAAGCCGGGCTGTGATTTCGCTTGTACATAACCATTTGTTCATGTTATTTATGGATCCGTATTGGTTGCGTTGGTGAGAATATTCGATGTAACTGACTAGAAGTTAAGTGCTGAAGAAGAGTTGGGTCGAGAGTGGAAAGTGGATGAGATATCGTTCACGAGAGGCGTGTTCGCAAACGAAGAGAAGGCGAAGCTGGCTACTGCTGCGTGCAGTGCTCCCTACAACGTTGCTGATCGAGATACTTTCGAATGTCATCTTCGAGTCATGACTATTTCGGTTCGATTTCTTACCTAATGAATAGATTTATGTTTTTGGTGATGTATAATAGAGTTTGTTGTTGAGGTGGCTGATAACAGACGTTTCATCGTAAGGCAGCAACCTCAACGCCAGACTCAGCACGACGATGCTCAAGTGGTCGTTCTAGAGCCGGATGCTACTCTGACAGCACCTGATGCAACAACGGCCATCATTCAAGATGTCACTCTTGTCCCACACAAATGAACGTCGCTATTGTTCCTTTTGAATTGATCATTAAAGACTCTGTGGTTACGGTTATCACCTGAGCAAAAATCTATCATTCCTCATCCAATTTATCCAAGTTACTCACTCCATCTCACTGCAAAAAACTGACGTATCTTTCCAATTTTGTTCACATTGTTGTTATGATAGCCATTTGTAAATCTTTTTGTCCACTCTGATCCTATTAATGTTTACTTACTTGTCATGCTGATTATGAATTCATTTTTACCGATTGCTGTTATTACATTCGATGCACCGAATTTTTATTGAACATAGATATACATTTGTGTATTTCAAATATGGCATGTAAGGGAGTGATGCCTATGATTTTGAACTATTTAAAAACACTCCCGAACCTGAAAAGAGTGCGAGTTGTTATATTGGTGTGAATAAGTTGACACAGTGAAATTGAACGGCATTACAGCTCTGTATTGTACCTGTTTAATTAGTTTCATTGCGTCTTTACAACTCCATCATTTATTGGCAACGAATGTTGAATCGTTCGAATAAATCATCTCTTTATTACCTGTCACTTATCTTTATGACAGATCCAATCAACATTTCTCGAGTCAATGTCTTCCATTAACAGTAAGTGTTGGCAACGATAGAGAACTGAAATCGGTGTGAGGACCACCAAACAACTGTTGAAACTTCCGATGAAATGATCAACAATTTAACAATCGCATAAAATCATGATGATTTAAGAACTATGTGGTTTAATTTATAACGTTTCCTCGTAAGAAAATATGGATACTTTCGACGTAATTATAAAGCAATGTAATGGTGGTCTACATGTTTGCAAGCAATCCAGTAAACGAAATTTGATTTCGTTCGAGAATAGGGTTTGCACGGGATCCCGAGATTACAGTTCTGATCCCGATCCCGGGATTTAAGTTCTGAAAAATCCCGAGATTTCGGGATTTGATAAAACAGGTCAGTTTGTGTGAATTTTGATAGTATGCCCGTCTTGAAGCAAACTTTAATGATTCCATTTAATTTATATGCAGTTATCTTTGCTGTTTGCTTACTATCATTGACGTTCAGCTAAGGAAATAGACGCAATTCGGACGAATGACATGATCAACGACAGCTCGATGAACTTTTATGTATCATTTCATAGAATATTCAACTGATTATTCTGCTCTCCATTGGTTTATATCACACTCATCTGGAT